ATACATATATATATATATATATATATATATATATATATATATATATATATATATATATATATATATATATATATTTTTATAATATATATATATATATATATATATATATATATATATATATATATATATATACACATATACAATATAATATAATACAAATACTGCTAATTATTAAATATTAAAAATACATCTTTAAAATCAATAAAAACATTTGATAATTTAAATAAATGTATTTTTTTATTTATTTTATATAATTTTTTGTTATTATTTATTATATATTAAAAAAACGTATAGGCCTAGTAGCCATGAAGATGCTGAACGAACAGACAACATTGAGATATATTGGATGTATAGTGTGCTTGACACGAGGTCAGCAGTAAGGTCACACTGGTTCATCCTGGCACCATCCGCGGTGCCGTCTGACACAGGTTATGGAGTTTTATAGGGTCTCATGCTGATCCCATCTGGGGCAGATCTGGGCATGTCTGGAGAACACAACTCACCTATGCAATCATTTTTCTTTTAACACAAATACACATCTACAGTTAAGTCCATCCCTGGTGAGAAAGGACAAAAACCCCTTCTGGATTGGAGTTTAACCTCTAGCTGGAGCACACACCTGTGCCCTGAGTCTGCGGGTGTGATGCTCTAATGGTTATGGATCAGAGCTGCTAACATAAAGACAGTAGATTCAGTCCAACAGTCACTATAATCACAGACCTGCTCCATCACTATCCTACCCTTGAGAAAAGAACTTCACCCCTGAATTGCTCCTAAAAGAGTTTTTTAGATGAAAAGTGAGTATTCAGCTCCTTTGGAGAATACAAATATAGCTCTGTTCTAAAACTCAGCAAGCTGCCTACCTAGAGAGCGCTTTAAGGCATCACTGGTCTGCTATAGATGTGAAATGTTAAGGATGTATTGCCGTGAGTTTTTTTTTATATTTTTGAAAATGATATGAAATGACTGAAAAAATAACAATAATAACTACAACAAAGCAAAATATAAACATTACAAAATAAAATAAAACACAAAATACAAAAATAAATCGAGTAAAAGCATATATAAACCGAGTAAAAGGAAAATATAAAATACAAAAATTAAAAACAATATTACAATTGCAAATAAAGGAAATAAAAAAAAGAAATAATATGAAATAAAATAAAACTGTTTTTATTTGTAATTTTATAAAAAATATTTGTAATAAAAAAAATTAAATCTGATGCACCTCAATGGAAAGAAACGTTGATAAAATTCTAAGATAGAATAGAATAGAATAGAATACTAAGGCACCGCAATAATACCAAGAAGAGAAACATATAAATAATAATAAAAATGAACAAGATTAAAATAAGGAATAAAATACATATAAAATAAAACTGATTTTATTTTATAATTTTATACAAATATTTTAAATAAATAAAAATGGCTCAAATGCCTTGTAATGACCAAAAATAAACAGCTCAGGTGGAAAACGAGAATGTTTCTGACATGAACAGCCTCTCAGATGGCAGCTGTCTATGTAGAAAGCACACAACAAAGCAGCACTAGAAGAGCCAGCATTTTATACGTCATTACGCTGGTTTCTTAGGAGCGTCTCCACATGGCTGGATTCTGATAATTCGGTCTCATATGAGAGGCCCATTATAGTGTTAGGAAGACACTGTAACCCCTCTCTCACATTTACACAAACCGTCCCCATCTTTTCAGTGTGCTTCTGCCTCCATTCCCCTGCCATTATGGGCAGGTCGGGGTGACATTCTACGGCCTAAATGGCCCTCAAGCCACCAATAAGCGGCACAGTCTCATTTCAGCTGTCTGGGTCGAACTCTAAAGTGCAGTTAATATGTAAAGAGGAAAACACAAAAATATTTTTGGCAATGAGATTTGCATTACAATCCCATTGCTTGGCAACACAATGAACACACCGTGTGCCCTGACTAGGTGCAGTGTGACAAGTTTCCAACACAATTTTTCTGCCCTCACTGAGAGCAAAATGCCATAAATAGGGACAAAACCTCTATAAATTAAGCAATGAATTTTTTAAAGAGATCTCCATAGTGCTCAATACCTCAATGCTTCAAATATAAGTGCTCATGCATCAAATCTGTTTCTAGCATTTTCTCTTACAGCGATCATCATAAAGAGTAACACCATAAAGCCTCTGCAGGGTTCTGATGTAAGATCTTATTTTCTACCATAATTCGGACATTAAAGTGTCAAGCACAGGTTTTCTGAATCTTTGCAAAAGTAATTAAACCAAAGAGCACATGCACTTAGAGAGCTAAATGTCTCTTCTCTTCTAAATGAAGATGAAGATGTGAGTGTGCATAATGGACTCCCTCTCTTTTTCTCATTTTTCTCATGCTTAATTACAAAAAGTTAAAAAAAAAATAATAAAAAAAATAAAATACAATTTAGCATTTTTTCCTGATAGCAGCAATAAGAACTTAAAATGCTCTATCATTTTTGGCCGTACAGATAATAATTTAAATGACAGAAAAATATATTTCATAAAAAATAACTGCAATAAAACAAAATAAAAACAATTAAAAAAGTAAAATAAAATACACAAATAAAAATATGTATATGTAAAGTTATGAATAAAATATTTTTTTTATAAAATTATATAAAAAAACAATAAATTACAAAAATTAAAAACAAAAGTAAAACTATGAATATAATTATATTATTTAATTTGATTTAAATTTAAATTTACCCTAATTAAAGGGCATTTTTCCCTAACCATATTAAATGCATGCATCATCTTTTGTATCAAATTCTTACATTTTATTAATAATTTCACTTAATACAAGACGACAATATAGGGCTGTTACCAATCAAATGAAATCAGTATCTACAAAACTGATCTTTCCACTGCAGAAGAAAAAGAAGTGAATGGAGTGGCATTCAGATGCATTTACACAGACAGTTCAATGTAAATGAAATGTAGCACGAATGCATACACTGCAAAATTATAACAGCATAAATAATCTTGTGAGCTTGGTGTTTTAAAATAGTATTTTTTTTTAAATATACAAATATGAAATGTTGAAAAAAATTAAGATAAGCTACTATGAAAGTATCATACATCTTCAAACGATTCGTTCAGACTGCTGGTTCATTCAAGATTGAACGGACCACTGAATCATTGACTCAAATGATTCAAAATTCAAAAACGCAAATCATTCAGTGTGGAAGCGCCGCTGTGTGTTGCTCAGACATGTGCGACTGTTCTACTGTGATT